GAGCCCCTTCCGCCGCGATATCCGCCTCCCCGCTGCCATCCCGCACCCGCGGACGCTCCTATGCGCGCAGTTCCCGGGCTGGGCGGGGAAGGCGCATTATTTACATTGTTTCGCTGCAGGCAGCGGGGGGATTTGGGGCTCTGAGCTCGTCCTAGAGCCTCACCTGGTCTCCCCAGACCTGCTTCCCATAGGACGGTGCTCGTGAAACACCAATTTGTCCAGGACCCCGTCAGGCATTCTCCTTCCCGCATTCGCAACACTCCACCCCCTCGACGCCACTCCCACCCCGACCCGGTTCTGCTACAAGTCTAACCGAACCCTGAAGCGGGAAAAATCCCCAACCGCGAGGTGAGGGGGCAAAGTGAGGGTTGACCGCAGAGATCTTGGAGACCATTTGGCCCAACCCTTCCTTCTATTAGATAGGGGAACTGGGGCCCAGAAATGGGAAGCGACTTGGTAATAGCACGCCGGGGTAGGGGGCGTCCAGAACCCGGGACTCTTGACTCGAATTTCATGGAATAATGGTAGCCCAGGACCCCCAAACCCCCTACCAACTCAAGCCCCGTGAGAGAGACTGACACCCCTCTGGGACTCAGTCCCCACTTTTCCACCAGAAAACTGGAAATGGGCGAGACTTCCTATCTTGCAAGCTTTGTCAGATTCCATTAATGAGTGTTTTTTGAAGCTCCCGGGGCTCCTTAAATGAAGGGAACTGTGCAGCTCGGGAACTTGTCATTACCGTTGTTATTGTTACAATCTTCTTTAAAAGGTTGGGGTGAGAAGTGCCTCAGACACCTCGGGAGTGTGCTGGGAACTGGACAGATAAAAAGGGCTGGAACTTATTATTTGGCTAGACTCTCAATTCCCATAAAATTACATAGGGCAAAGATACCAACCATCATTACAGTTATCACCCTCAGAGGGTTTGTTGAGACTTTCTCCACTGTTGTTTGTAAACCACGTTGACATGGCTGGCTATGAGGAGCTGTTATTTTGAATGCCCGCTTGCAAACTATTCTACATTTTGTTAACAGACCATCAACATAAACAGATAGATTGTGACCCGTCTATAACTGTGACTTCCAATTTCTGTGGGCTGGCAGAACATTTAACTCTGAAACTAGGAGAGCAGTTTGTTTTTTTTTTTTTTTAATGTGCAAATTCAACTGCAATTGAATTTCCTGCCATTTTCAAGACTTTCCTTAAACTGGTAACCATCAAGTCCTGAAGGCATTGCTAGGGCTTAGCTGAGCACTTTTAATTTTCATTGATTGATACATTTACTTAAAGATGTTCTTCAAGGAGAACATGCTCTGAGATACAACCGACATTATTATAAAATGGAAGCCAGTGACCATAAGGGAGAAAATGATACTCCTAAACCACGAAGGCCAAATCAGAAAGCTGCTTCTCACACCAACTAGGAGGAACTCATTTGTTGCCGCAGCCCCCGCCCCACCGGGTTTACTCTTGCTCTTCCTCATAATGTATTATTAACCCAAACTTGAGCCTTTTCCACCAGAAACAGTAACCTCTGGCTACAAACAGATCTGGACAAGTCTGAACTTTACCAAGGGAGGCAGGAACCCCAAGCCCTGCTCAGAGGCGGCTCTCACTTCAAAGCCTCCTTTCATTTAAATACAAACAGGGTGAACAACTGGCAATCTACGAAACAAATACCATCCAGAAGGGAAGCTTTTCAGATGGGCCAGAATTCCTTCTTGCCTCTCCAACTCCCATCCCTGCTATCTTCAGAAGAGGCTTCTTAGTAGAGATGCACCTACTCCTTGTAAGTTCTCTCAACGCCAAAAAATGAATTGGAGGCTGCATGTTAAATGCAAAAATCAATGACTTCTCAGGCTGATTAACCTTCATATAACCTTTTTTTTTTTTTTTTTTTTAATATAAAGCACACACTTAGGCAATTTGGTACCATTTTAACCATTTTGAAATGCACACTTCAGTGGCATTTAGTACAATCATAATGTACAGCCATCACCACTAGTTACAGAACATTTTCATCACTCCAAAAGGAGACCACATACCCATTAAGCACTCAAAGTTCCTTCTCTTCTCCCTCCAGTCCCTACAAACCACTAATCTGCTTTGTCTCTATGGATTTGCCTATTCCAGACATTTTGTAGAAATGGAATTATACAATACAGGGCTTTTATGTCTGACTTCTTTCACTTAGCATCATGTTTTCAAGGTCCATTCATATTGGTATCATGTATCAGTACTTCATTCCTTTTTATGACTGAATAATGTTCCATTTACAGATATACCACATTTTGGTCATATAGCACTTTACAAGTTTGCACAGTGCTTCCAGGTGCACCCTTGTATCTTAGAACATTTTGTTTGTTTTCTGTTTGTTTGTTTTTAATTGATAAGCAAACCAAGTCTCAGCAAGATTCTGTGGCTTGTCCACAGCCACAGAGCTCTTGAGTGGCTGAACCAAGACTGAAATCTAAGACCTCTGACCAAATCCCATGCTATTTTTTTGTTGTTAGTGGTGGTGGTGGTGGTCAGAGAACACAGTGCTCTGGGTCTCTTTTAGTGTCAGCAGTGAATGTACAACTGCCAAGGTCCTGTGGAAGTATCCTTGTTTTAGATTGATAAATGTTCATTGAACACCTCCTATGTGCCTGACAATGTTCAGTCCTAGAGGAAGGGAAGATGTATAAGCCAAAAGGAGTTTACAGTTTTATAAACAGTGTGCAAAGGCTTGCTTAGATAGAATGCACTAATGGTATACTTGTTTTTCCCAGGTCAGGAGTTTCCCCTGATGTGACACTTGGAGGGGGAGGATACATTTGCTGGTGGGCAGAGAGAACAAAGAATACATTCCCATGCTTCTGTCCTCTAATCCAAGAGAACTGATTGAGCCAGGTCTACTCTCTCAGCTTTGAGGACACTTCTCATGGCCTGCTGGGTAGCTACCCTGATTTCCAAATATGGTGCTGGGAAGAACCAAACCTGGGCACAGTGGCTCATATCTGTTAGGAGGCCGAGGCAGGAGGATCGCTTGAGCCTAGGAGTTCAAGATCAGCCGAGGCAACATAGTGAGACTTTGTCTCTACAACAAAATAAAAATTATCCAGGCATAGTGGCTCACACCTGTGGTCCCAGCTATTTGGGAGGCTGAGGCAGAAGGATTGCTTGAGCCTGGGAGGTAGAGGCTGAAGTAAGCTGTGATCACACCACTGCACTGCAGCCTGGGTGACAGCATAAGACCCTGTTTCAGGAAAGACAGAAGAGAGGAGAGGAGAGGAGGAGAGGGGAGGGGAGGGGAGTGGAGGGGAGGGGAGGAGGGGAGTGGAGGGGGAGGGGGGAAGGAGGGGAAGGGAGGGGAAGGGAAGGGAAGGGAGAGAAGAAGAAAGGAAGGAAGCTCCCTCCCTTAGTTAGGGTAAGATGTTGGCCTGCAGCCCTCTAGTCTTTCCCTGTATCCAGCCCATTCCCCACACAGCCATCAGAGTGAGGCTTTGACAACATCATCTGGACAATGTCCTTCTGGCTGATTTTTGTAGAGACGTTTTGTCGTGTTGCCCTGGCTGATCTTGAACTCCCAGGCTCAAGTGATCCTCCCACCTCAGCCTCCCAAAGTGCTAGGATTATAGGTGTGAACCACCGTGCCTGCCTCCCCCCCCCCAACTTTTTATTTTATTTTATTTTATTTTATTTTATTTTTAAAACTGGCTGTGTCGCCTAGGCTAGAGTACAGCTTCCACCTTCCTGGGCTCAAGTGATCCTCCCAGCTCAGCCTTCCGAGTAGCTGGGACTACAGGCACGTGCCACCATGCCCAGCTTTTTTTATTTTTTTTCTGTTTTGTAGAGACAGAGTTTCACCATTTTGCTCAGGCTACATTTCCAGCTTTCTTACTGGCCCTTCCCTGTCCTGTATCCTGTGCTCTGGCCCCACAAGAATGTGTCATCACATTCTCTATCTTGCATGGATTTATCTACCTGTACCCTGCCCCTTCTTACAACTATCCTTTCATTCCCCTCCATTTCTTGGACAATTCTTTCATACTCATGCTTCAAGACTCAGCTGAGAAGTCACCTCTTCTGGAAAGCTTTCCTGGATTCCTCCAAGCAGAGCTAGCCCCTCCTCCTTTTAGGCCTCCAAAGCACTGTCTGCATAAAATGACTACAACACTTGTTCCTTAGCAGAGGCCACATTTTCTTTGAGAGTTCCTCCACTACCAGCCTCCAAGAGCTCTTCTAGGCTTGCTTTATTTATTTATTTATTTATTTATTTATTTATTTATTTATTTATTTATTTTTGAA